CCGACTGACGCGCCACTTCGAGATTGACCTAGAGGGACTCACGGATGCCTCAGCACGGGGCGGTTCCACCCCTCTTAGCCGGGACGTGCTTCACAATGCACTCCTCCTGGCCTCTGATGGAGCCCGCTCCTGGGTGGATGGGCTGTCTTTGCCCCCCCTGAGGAGGATGCAGATCTTGATGAGGATGAGGAGGACGATGACTACACCAGCGAGGAAGAGGCCGATGATGATGATGATGATGATGGCGGGGCCATGGATGCTGATGAGCCGGAGACCCAGGACCTTCAGCCACGACGGAGATCCGAGAGAGGCGAGTCCTCCTCCGGTCCTTCTGGTCCGTCGATGGCTTCTGGCCCGTCGATGGACTTCTTCACGGAGCAGTTCCAGCAGTTGGGGCTCCAGTTTCAGCAGCTCGGGCTCCAGAACCAACAGCTCATGGACCATCAGATCCAATTCTACCAGCAGTATTCGGCCCACCAGGCCGAGTACCAGTCCCGGATGACGGTCGTGGATGAGCGCCTCGACCGGATGGAGGCTCAGATAGGAGTCACTAGTGCTCGCATCGAGCGGGAGCGGGACCGTAGCCGCCGGATGATGGAGTACGAGGAGCACCTGCTCCAGTCCTGTCACCCGCCTCAGGAGCACCACTGGACCACCCGATGGGACCACTCAACACCCCCGCCACCACCGCCAGATGGGGTTGACGACCTCATGGATCAGATCGACTTCACCAGGCTCGAGTAGGCTGTACTCGTTGCCCGTCTTGTGTTGCTTTTGTTTCTTATGGAGTGCAAACTGTCTTGTGTTTTGGTTTATTTTCTTTGCTTTTCTTTTTGATGATGTACTATTGGGCTGACAACTGGACCTAACGTATTGTGGCTGAGCTTTTGTTTTCCCTTTAGCTGTGTTGCCCCAGATGGTCCCCTCTCCAGTCCTCTTCACTCAGACTAGTCCCCTTCCAGTTTCATGCAGTCCGTGCACACCGGTAACATCATTCCCCTTATCCTTCCCTCTTCTCCATTGAGGAAAATGTCGAACTTAAGTGTGGGGGATGTTTCTCTTTTGGCTGCATTAGATATGTTTGTATGCTTGGAGCCTAGTCCACTGTCCAAATTTCGATTTGAGGGCTCCAAGTACGTGTTTCCTTGCAAATTGCCTGCTTAGTATGCTTTGAATTGACAGTCTCTGTAGTAATGTGCAACCTAGAGAGGTAGTGTAGCACTATGGAGGATGTTGAAGTATAAGATTTTTTCTATCTAGCTCTATGTTGTGCCGGTTGATTTTTTGAATTAGTGGAGCTAAGACTGTTGAATTCATGTGGTAATGGTGACTCTGATTGGATTGTGTTATGGACTCGTGTATCGAACAGGGTGCTCATGTGGCAAGTGAATAGCAGTTGGTCCTCCATGTCGAAATCATTGAAATCTTAAACATGGGGTAAGCCCAACGTGTGTGGCATCGTTCTTTGTAGAAAATTGCGTTTTGGAAGAGATTTTAGTGATCCTTAGTGGGGTACTCGTACAAGGTGAAGCTAAGCTGTCTCTAGTACAAGTAAAATTTTCACCCGTTGAAAGGTTTGTCTACTCGAGGATGTGTTTTAAGGGCACGGATAAAGCTTCCGACCCCCCTTAATTTCATTGACCCTCACACGAGTTGAGGAAAAGGAGTTAAAAGAAGTACTCTAGCGAGCGCCAGATGTACAGAAATTGCTCTTGCTCGACTAATAAGGGTCGACCGTGCAAAAGACTGCAGTTGGAACCCCCGCCAAGTGAATGAAAAATATATATATAAAAAAAAATGAAAGTGAAAAAGGGGTTCCAACGGTGAAATGAAGTGAAAGAGCACCCCGGTACAATGAATCCTTGGTTGTGAATGGTGTGAGTCCCTTTATCCATGAACTGGCAGTCTTACTTCCACTTCTTCTCATGATCCTGCTTGAGTCTAGTACTCGCATTGAGAGAGATAGGGAACGTCTTAGAAGACCAGTTGACCTCGTAAGCTGCTATATGATCTAGGAAATCCTCTACCGACGATCAGGGTTGTTTGTTGCTATAGAGGTCTGGAGAGTTGCATTGGTTTGAGTTAGGTTTGCTTGGGTACAAGCAAACGGTTAAGTGTGGGGGAATTTGATAGACCATTGATTGCACATGTTTTTACCCCTATTCTTGACCGTTGGAGATGTTGATTCTCGTGTTTTAAGCCGATTTCACGCTAGGTTGTGTATTTATGTCATATTTCAGGGCTTGGCATTGACGTTGAGGCGAAGAAGCAAGTTTCGGGTCAAAAGGAGGACGTTTGAGTTGAAGGGCTGGAGGAGCAAAATACCCGGTCATGATAAAAAATACCCGGCCGAGTAAAATTCCATGGAGGCCAGGGAAAAACGCTTTTGGGGCGTTGAGAAACAGAATGGGTCCCGGCCAGAGACCAAAAATACCCGATCGGGTATTCTTGACCTCGATCGGGTATTAAAGGCGTCACTGATGCGCTGCGTTTCAAAATCCCCTGCCGGGCACCTGAAATACCCGACCGGGGATTATGGTCGGGGATCGCGAGCAGCTGGATTTTAAGGGAAAGAAGGCCAATTGTGAAGGGGTTCCGAGCTTTAGAGAAAGAAAGTGATACCTAGAGAGAGAGAGAGCGACGAACCAGAGTTCCCAAGCGCCTTAGATCGATCTTCATCATCAGTGGAGCTCGGATAACGCTTGGAGAAGTGTCGATTGCTGACCAGAAGCAGAACCCCATTCTTCACATCATGATTTCTGCTTCTGAGCTAGAGTTTGCTTCTCTCTCCATGGAGTAACTTCCACATTCACCTGGGTATGAAGAACCCTAGATTTGCATGTTAGGTCTGATTGTATGAACCCAAGTATGAATCCATTGATTTGATTATATTCAATTGAGGTCTGATTTGTTGAATGGCATGAATCCTGATCAAATTCCTGTTGTTTCTGCTTTGGCCTAGAAAGAGAATATCTGCCTAGATTGATAGAGCACCCTTGATTAAAGGTAGTGAATTGGCGACTTTAGTCGAGGAGTCAATTCACTATCCTGTCCTGGATTTACTTTGGTAGTGGAGGTTTGGTTCGTTGGGGCCTCAATCTGTTTACTCCGGTGGAGGTTAGTCGCCCGCTGGGGACTCAGATTGAGAGGGTATGGAGACCTTTAGTCGAGACTGCAGACTGCATAAGAACCTCCCACAGTATAATTATCTTTGAATTCGAACTTGGCAAATTACAATCTGGCTTAACTGCAGTCTAGGGGGAACCATATCCGGGTGACCTCTCTCGACTTGAAAACAACCTTTTACTGCTTTGCTTGTTTGTTTGCTTGGACCTTCACTTCGCTTTCACTGCTTAATAATAAGAATTCACGGAGTAGTCATCACACTTAGGACCCGGGTTGACATTAAAACCCAAACCCGCTATACTACGCTCTAGTAGGTGGTTACACTTGGCCATTTTCTAGTGTGACGGTAGAGGTGAGTCATATACCTGGGCCAATAGGGACTGGGGATCAGAATGGATACACCACCTAATTTTCGCCAAAAGGGCCTGATTAAAATGCTCAAATCGACGAAATCTCATTCCCCTGTCGTGTTTACTCCTGCACATATTGCGCCTAGACATCCATCGAATCCGCGACTGACCCTTGACCACACCCCACAAAAATCTGGCTACATGCTTATCCAAGGATAAACACGTTATTTAATATAAAATTAGAATTTTTTCATTGAATGTTAACAATCACAGTTACCAAACAATAAAAATTTAAAATATATTTTCAGCAATCCGAAGAGTTTGAGAATCTTTAGATTGTTGACAATCTAGAGATTTATTAGACTCATATTCTCCAAACGACAACATAGATTAGAGGAGAAGGAATTGGAGTTAGGGGAAGGGTTGGATACGATAAATTAGATTATCCGATTAACCATCGGTTAATAATCGGATACGACTCAGTATACCTAATATAGTCTATCAACTGCCGCCTACCGATGCCGCCAATTACTGGTTATACTGTTAATCGCGGCAATCGATTTGATATCTGGTTAAACCATTGACTGACTAAACGATTATCATCTCTAGAGACAAGAGTGAGTTGGGAGAGGATAGAGGTCATCATTGGGCTAAGGCAGAGTTAGATTTGAGGTTGAACTGGTTGGGAGAATGAATTATATATGAGTCCGGACCTCCAATTTGGAGGAGAAGAGGGCAGGCGTGGGCTGAAGATAGGTGTGTGCCAAATTGTGTTCAACTGAAATTAGTGGTCAAAATGAGTTGGGCTAGGTCTAGGTTAGCTAATTGGAACTCGACTCACAATTCTGTTTTTTCGGTTCGGTTCATTCTGAACCGATTTTTGTCCACCAACAATGGAGCCATCCGAATCTCAACCCATTAAGTGCTCATATTTGGATAGGTTCGGTTTCAGGTCGGTTCGACCTGATTCAAGTTTCCCACCCCAATGTCCACCCCTAAACCTGGGGTTGATATGAACTCTATAGTTTACACTTATCCATCTCATTCGATGAAATGACAAGCTTGCAGACAAAAGTCAGTCAGCTAACCCATTACCACACAATCAGCTTCGCTCCATCCTCGTAGTCTATATTAAATATAATCCTTTTCAACAACCTCTTTGAGTCTATGAGCGCAGAAGATGATTTAACATAAACCATCAATTCAAGGCAGAAAGTTCAGCTAACATGCATATGGGATCAGATCCTCCATGCCCGATAGCTCCATATACGACAGATTCTCTCTTCACGTACATGATGCATTTATTAGAGTATGTGTAGTATACGAGTAATGTTATGTTATACTACGAATACTGTTATTTAATTGGACGGAATTACCTAATTGGATCAGATTCCCTAGCCAGCCGGCCGGCCGATACCCTCCAATACAAAACAAGCCCTCCGCCGTCTATATATGAACGCAGAAACGTACGTAATTTCTTACTATCAAAAAGCTCCCTTCAACTACAACTAACTACCCAATATCATGGAATCCAAAAGCCACACCCTTTCCGCCACCTTACTACTACTCATCATCCTCTCAATCATACTCTTCATCGTCAAGCGAAAGAACCCAAAAGCAAAGAAAACCCCCGCCCCATGGAAACTGCCGGTGATAGGGCACATGCACCACTTGGCAGCCGGAGGAGGCATCACCGCCCCCCACGTCCGGCTCCGAGACCTGGCCCGTATCTACGGGCCGGTCATGGAGCTCCAGCTGGGAGAGATCAGCCACGTGCTGATCTCTTCCGTGGAAGCTGCCAGGCAGGTGTTCAAGACCCAGGATCTCAAGTTCGCGCAACGGCCCTCCAACATCGCCACGGGGATCATAACCTACAACGGCGCCGACCTCGCTCAGTCGCCCTACAACGCCTTCTGGAGGCAGCTCCGAAAGCTCTGCACCCTCGAGCTGCTGAGCGCCAAGCAGGTCCAGTCGTTCCGGCCAGTCAGGGAGGAGCAGGCGCTGGAGTTCGTCCGGGAAATTGCATCGGCCTCAACTGGAGGTGGGTCAACCGAGCTCTGATACCATAGTAAAATGAAAATTCAGCTCAATTTTATTAATGATGTGTTAAATTATAACAGACAATAACAAAACAAATATTGATACCCATTTAGTGTCACATTATAAAAAAAATGTTACGTATAAATTTCATAATCTATTTTCACTTTTATATTACAACAGCAGCGGTGGTGAATCTGAGCAAGAGGATATTCTACCTGACGTACGGCGTCACGTCGAGGACGGCGTTCGGAGAGGTGTGCAAGGATCGAGAGGCGTATATTCCGGTCGCGGCGGACATCATGGTGACGACGGGAGGGTTCATGCTCGCCGATTTCTTCCCTTCCTGGAAGCTGCTTCAGTGGGTTAGCGGGTTGAAGGCACGGATGGAACGACTTCATCGTGCTCAGGATAACTTGCTACGCAAGATAATCCACGATCATAGAATGAGGAAATGTGAGGACGGCGATGATCGAAACGTGGGTGCTGAAGATTTGGTGGATGGACTTCTGAAGCTGCAGAGGAATGTTGTCGACCAGCAGGGGTTTACCTTGACAGATAAAAACATCAAAGGAGTGATCGGGGTAAGTAGTAACTATTTGTTACCGTATCTTGCAGTTGAAGTTATTGATAAATTTTTTTTTTTGTTATGCACAATTATATATGGTGTTATGCATTATGATCTCTGTTGTTATTGAGAATTAACTAAATGTTACCTTAAAATAACTTTAATTTATTATTGATATTGCAAGGGATTTAGTAACCGGAACTTATATGATTAAATGAAATTTTAGGACATGTTCATTGCTGGGAGTGATACTTCATCCGCAACCGTGGAATGGGCTATGTCAGAGTTAATAAAAAATCCAACGATAATGAAGAAGGCTCAAGAAGAAGTGAGACATATGTTTGGTGAGAAAGGAAAAGTTGAAGAATCAAGAGTTCATGAGTTAAGCTATCTGAAGTTGGTCATTAAGGAGACTCTCAGGTTGCACATTCCAGCTCCTATACTCATAAGAGAATGCATAGAGGAATGTGAGGTTGGTGGGCATCTGATACCCATTGGAACAAGGGTGTTGATCAACTCATGGGCTATCGCGAGGGATCCCACTGCCTGGGATCAACCTGAGGAATTTCGTCCTGAGAGATTTATGGATGGTGCGATTGATTACAGAGGGACGAATTTCGAGTATCTCCCGTTTGGTGCGGGAAGAAGGATGTGTCCAGGTATTTCATTTGGTATAGCAAACGTCCAGCTTCCACTTGCCAATCTGCTGTTTTATTTTAACTGGGAACTTCCAAATGGCGAAAAATTCGAAAGTCTAGATATGGACGGCACATTCGGTATTACAGTCAAGCGAACAAATGAATTGAATGTAGTCCCTATTCTTCGTTATCCTATTCCAGTTGCTGTGTAAACAAAAATATATGTATGTTGTACTTCCAGTTTACAATTTCAGCAACTTTGGATGATGTAGTTCTGTATTAAATAAAATAAAAATAAAAATGGAGTATTTGTATAACTAGTGTTTGTTGTAGTAATTAATGGGCCTTTTGGTGATGAGAATAGTAAATAAGTGGATTGGGTCGTTACGCCACATGGCTTTTAGCCCAATAATGGCCCAAAATCCGGAAATTTTCTTGTTTTTACAGAAGGTATTGCTCTCTTTCCATGACAACTGATCAAGTGATAAAGGGAAGACCTATCCCTACCAATACCATTGGTTTCCTTATTGCATTTGTGTTCATTCACGTTATTTAGTGATTATTCACATAATATTATGAATGTTCGTAAATAGAAATTCAGATATTTTGCTCCTAATAATTTGTATTGGCTAGATTTTTATGAATTCATTTTGGATTCTTAATTAATCTATAAAAATGTGTTGCATTGATCATAATCTACTCAATGACATCCATTTTGATATATTTCAAAGATTATATTTTGATTTTACAATGGCGTGAATAAACAATAATAATATGCACGAATAAACACTAGCTTGCGTGACTAAACAATATTGGTTGAGTGAATAATCAACACTTTTACATGAATAAGCTCAAATTTACATGGATAAATACAAAAATGTGTGAATTAGGTGTTTTGTCTCTAGAGGTGCGAAGAGACTCTACTCTAATTTTTATTGTACTTCTGTTATCCTCTCCTTGGATAACCCTTTCATTTTATCAATTAAATTACACGTGAATCCATGACAGACAAGGAGATGGGCTCCTTAATCACAGACTCTGCAATTTGGACCAATTTAGTGGAATTGTAGGTGTCTTCCTTCTTGTAAACCATATGTAACACTTTGTTCATCTTCCAGAACAACTCCCTGCATTCTTTGGGAACCGCACTGGTGTTCCTTTCATCCAAAACCATTCTCAGCAGTTCTTTCGTCTGCTCGTCAATCAACCCTTTGATCTCTTCAATGGCTTCCTCTGCAGTGTCAATCCCCTGGCTCATTCGCAACGAGACCGCGTTCGAAATCCCTTCTTCAGCTTCTCTCTGCCATAACCAACATGAGACAACCAAATACCAATTAAGTAACCTAGGCAGATATATCCCCACAGGACCAAAGCCAAAGTCGATCGATTTCTGACTTAATTTTACCTGGAAGCTTCTGCAATCATTCAACAAGCGCCCACATGTGCTCATAACTTTGAACAGATGGTGGACTTCTGGACCCTTAGCCACTTCATCTGGGAGCTGAGGTCCAACCATGTACAGAGAAGGCAACACAATGGGTCCTAAAGCGAATGAAATGTATCCATTTCTCATGTATTCGTCGAGTGTTGGCAACGTGTTGGTTCGCGACCATTCTGCTTCTTCCAGCATTGTTCTCAACACATCCACCCACTATACATATCAGAAAGAGAACATTGGATTAGAACTACAGTTCAAGAATTGCATAATCATTAAACAGATTAGGCAACAAGGTGGAATAGATGAGACCACTTACAAGTTCAACAACATGGTCCATGACATTACGCCCCTGCCAGGCAAATGCATTCTCCACTGTCTCACAAATAGCACTGTGAAGTGCCCAGTAGAACGTTTTCACTTCCTCTGTACAAAATTCTGCCCTGGGGCCATTCACATCCCACCTCTCGAAGAGCTCCAGGAGGTTGAGGTGCTCCTCTGCGGTCCCGAAGATGTCGTAGAAGTCATCAATGAGAGAGGTGAGAAGGCTGTGCTTGGCCCACGAGATGCGGGCATCGGAGAGCTCAGGGTCGTAGTAAGTAGCTGCAGCTGAGAAGTAGCAGTATCCCATCTTCACCTTGGCCAATCTCATGTCTTCCAGCTTGTATTCCTTAAGCCAACTGCAATTCGTTGATGAATCTCAATCAGAACAAACTCAACTTGAAAATAGCATAATCATGAATGCGAAAGGGTATAGAGAGATCAGCAGACCTCATGAGTTGGTTTAGTTCTTTCTGGTGCACTGACTGGCAGAAGTTGAAATCAGCAGCAGCTAGTTTTAGCAAGTCTTCACTCCCAAAGCTTGAACACCTATATAGTACATAGCAATCCATGAAATGGGAAGTCAGCAAATTTATACATGGAAGCAAGCAACCATTTATGATAGACCTACAAGAAAAAGAAATGAAATTCGAAGTTAAACCTGAAAGAGGATTTCAATGTCCTGGTGTTATCAGTACAGTATTGCTCAATGTTTCTTCTGTGAGCTAACCGATCCAAATCCCCCTTGAACGGATAGTTAAGCACATCATCCACCTGCGTGGAAATGGATTCACTAGCTCTTGACCTAGTCCGATTCGCAGAATTTGGGGACGATTCCATCGATTTCATCAAGAACTCGTTCGTCCAGGACTGCTGGTGTACAAGAATCGACTCATTTGGGTACAAAACATTCGAGGCCTTGTGTAACTCCAACACTGCCATCTCATCTTTCAGATACCCTTCCATCGTATCGTCCCAGAATCGATCTTCTGTGAACCGATTGAACACGTCTACAGGGGAGGAGCAGAAAACCAGATTAAGTAAGGATTAATTACTTACACCAATAACACCACTAGCTGATCAATGGCGTGAAATTCGATTTTTATAGAATAAAATTAAGTACCTGGAGAGACAGGGTATCTATTGAGGCGCAGTATCCTGAACGCCATGGAGCAAGTTGTGGGGTCGAGGAAGATCTCTTCATCTCCCTGTATCCAGCTCGTGTAGATCTCATCCAATGCCTGCTCAATCTCTTCGCCGAAAAGCCGATTGATCCCCAAACTCTCGATTGCATCGATTAAAGAGAGCTGGGTCTGGATTCCGTTGGGGTAAATTGCCGGGACCGCAGCGGAATTGACGTCGACGATCGACCGGAGGTAGCCGAGCGAATCGGCGTCGCGAAGGTGCATAAACGCGGCGGCGGTGGCGGACGGCGAGTTGAAGAGGGAGCCGTTCTTCCTCTGGAACTTCCTCGCGGTTTCCCAGTGATCGGGAGAATTCCCCATTCCTTCAGAGATGTAGGCCAAGAAAGCGTCGCGGCCACCGGATCGATGGTGAGCGGCAGAGCTGAGAATGGAGTCTCTGTTGCGGAACATGGCGCCAAGGTTCGCGGAATTGAGCGGGAGATTCAAATCGAAATCCTGCGCGCATGTTTGAATCATTGCGGGAAATACGACGTCGAAGCCGATTGGCGCTTGTTGGCTTGAATCGGTGAGTGAACCCGAGTTGCGGCCTATAAATCCGAGGGCTGTGGAAAAGTCAACAATATGAATTCGTTAGCGCATGTTGAAAAGAATTATAAAATATTACACTATTATATTTTTTTTATCATATTATTTAAGTCCTAAACCAACTTGAAAGAAGTTTATTTATGGATTTCAACGTTTCGAACAAAAACCAACGCAAAGGTTTGAAGTTTAGACAAATTTGTAATGTGTTTTAACACGAAAGATCATACAATCAAATCAAGTATGATATCATATAATAAATCAAATGACCCCAATAACGATCGAATCAGCTAATAATCCATATACCGTTGTGAATGTGTTGATCCCCGACGCCCCATCGCTTGAGAGCAAGAACACAAGCCAGAGTCGACGAAAGCGAGTCCTTCAGGAGCAAGTTAGGGTTTCTGGTGCGATCATCAGCGGCAGAAGGCAGACCCCAAGAGCCATCCTTGTGTTGATTCTCCAGTATCCAGTTCAGGGTTTCAGGAAAACAAGGGACTTGATCATGACGATCAGTACTAGAAGCTGTTGGAGCAGGAACCATGGCTACCCATGCGGTGTCGTATGAGGAAGCCGAAAGTTCAGCCTTCTCGAACAACTTCTTGATCCTGCTCCTCTCCTTTGGGTCATCGAACCTCTGCAGTACGCATGCACGTCGAAAAACATCAAACAACTAATAAAACATAAACAGTAACAGTAGATAGTGGAAACTCAATAAATCTCGCAACAGTGTGATTAATTAAGCTACGTACCAGGGTGGAGGGTTTGTTGATTTGCGGGACTAGAAGTTCTCTCGAAACCACTGCTGCAGCTGCAGGCAAAGGGTTGGTGGACAAGCTACGAGCCATGGAAACTACTGATTGCAGTGATGATGCACTTGTTTTTGGTATCCTAAAGGTTGAGGGTGAGAAGGAGAGAAGTCTCTTAGCTAGCTTGTTGACGATGGTTATTAAATGTGATGATTATATATGAGAAGAGAGGAGTAGCTTGGGGAGTGGTATTTATAGAGATGGCGGCCGGGGAATGGAAGAAGAAGAAGAAGAAACGGCGAAAGAGAGAACTGTGGGCCTAGCTAGCTAAAAGATTGAGGAATGGAGGAGGAGGAGGAGGATATGACCAAGTCAACCTTCCAGAGACTGGTCGATGTATTCTTTATATGAAAGAAACTGCAAGAGGTAAATTAGATAATTAAGTAATCATGGTGGTGATAATGGAGCTGATGGTTGGCATTAGATAAATGAATTTTAAGTATGAAGGAGTAGTCGGACAAAGCCAAAAATGGGGTATTAATATGCATGCATGCACAGTAGAAACTAGCCAACTAGAAATCAGCATGCGTGATGATGGTTTCGTTTTGGAAGCGTGCGTGTTTTTCTCGTGGGCCAACTAAAACTATAAACAAAACTAGAGCCAAAGTGGAAAGGGCGTCAATGGTGTGATTAGATTAGTCTAGTTAAATTAAGGAGCTATAGCTGACGGTCCCGGCCCATAATTAATTAATCCTTGTGCAGCCACGTCGGCACGTGATTAATTAAATATGAACGAATGTTCTTAATTCTACCCTTTTTTTTTATAAAAGAAATATTTTCATCTGAGCGAGTCATTGGAAAGTTTGCGGTTGAAAGATATGACTGTTTATTGATTGGTTAAAATGAAATCCCATGCATGCAAAGGGATTGATTGCTCTATGGTGTCACTGTGATTGGCCATTGTATTTGATCTGCCAATTTTAACCCACCACGCGAGTATTACCCGACCTAAACCACGATGGGGCTGGTATTATCCGACCCATAGTAGTGTGGGGTGGGGCATGAGTATATAGTTCTACTTCCGACTCGTCATGCCCCGCTCCGCTCCAGGGTGCAGATAGTATAACAACACTTAAAATATACTAACAACAATGATATAACAGTAAAATGACAATAAATATTCAATTAAAATATATTCATAATACATACCGATTCGTGTATCTCCTTCAACCTCCGATTTTGGCCTCCCAACAACTTCGTCGTTCTTTCCCCTGCCCAAATCTTCGCGACGATGTCGTTGTCAGCTGCTTAGGACTCTGTTCCTCCTCCACTATCGCTGTCTTCACACTCGAAAAAAGCTCGATCCTCCTCGGTTGTCAATTTTCGACTCTCCTCTCCAGATCAACAGTACTCTTCAACAGCTCTCTCTAATATCCCAGTGAAATCTATCTTTCTCACCGCCATCGCTCCGCTTCTTCCTCCCCGCCGCCCTAATTATAGCTACTATCACAGCTTCAATCTGGTGGAACAGAGGAGATCGAGACCGTTTTTTCTCTTCAATTTCGAAATAAGAAGGAGATCTGAGCGGCGGCTGAGGATGAATCACATATTCCCCTCTTCTTCTTCTTCTTCTTCTTCCAAAATGAGATATGGGCGGCGGCAGAGTTTCTTCTTCTTCTCCCCTCCATCTGGCTGTCGTCGTTCACTTGTAATTGTCGATCTTCCGATTGCATTGCGCCATGCTGCTGCTCCCTCGCTCGTCGGGATCCGAACTAATCCCAGCTGAGAGTTGTGGTCCTGTGGAGTATGTTTAGTAGATTGTAGACAAATCAAGATCCTAGAATATAGATTTGTAAATTGGTGGGGGTGTTATCTTGTAACCATAATGTTGTAATGTGTAGTAGTTTCTAAAACCCATACACTGGTTTAAGTAATTTGGAAAAGACCCTAATAAAATTATTTACCAACTGTTCTTTGCTCGATCTTGCATGCCTACTTATTTGTATCTTTATGGCATCACCTCTCTTGCATATTTACAGAAGCTACATGTAGAAGACACAAATAAAAGTGTTTGTGGTTTGCATTCCGAAAGCAAACCACACATAGTTCTAAAGCACACTAGAAACCTCCTAATACAAATCATAAATGCGATAAACATACCAGAAATCTAACAAAGCAAACCATAAAATTTTCAAAAGCACACCAAAAACTACATAATGCAAACCACAAACACGACAAAGCAAACCACATAAAACAACCAGATTCTTCCTAATGCAAAACACAAATATGTTAAAACAAACCAGAAACCTCACAAACCAAACCACATAATTTTCAAAAGCATACCAAGAACCTTCTAATGCAAACCACAAAAGCAAAACAGAAACCTTCTAATGCAAACCACAAATCTATTAAGACAAACCAGAACACTTGCAAAGCAAACCACAAAAGTTTCAAAAGCACACCAGAAACCTTCTAATGCAAACCACAAAAGCAAACCAGAAACGTACTAATGCAGACCACAAATATATTAAAACAAACCAGAAACCTCACAATGCAAACCAAATTTTTTTTGAAACCAAACCAGAAATTTCTTAATGCAAACCACAAACACGATAAACCAAACCACAAAAGGCATACAAAAATATGAGAAACCAAACCATAAATCTCACAATGCAGACCATAACATCCGGTGGTCGTTGACCGTTGACCGGTCAACGAAGTTCGTAGACCAAACTCTGATGACCATCAGTGAGCATATTTCGACGTCGATAGACATATTCCAGCCCCGATGACTAGATTCCGACGCCGGTAAGCATATTCCGACCACGGTGAGCATATTCCGACGACAGTGGCCATATTTCGACGACAAAATAGCATATTCCGGTGAAAAAAGCATATTCCGGTGACCGTCGACCATTTTCCAGCAACCGGTGGCCGAATTCCGACGACCAAAATTTTGGACAAAAAATAAAAATATTTTTATTTTTCTTATTTATTTTTATCATTATTTAAACATATTTTTCATAATGACAATTATACCCCTACTTTGATTTTACACTAGGTCAACTCAGCTAATAAAAAGTCATCACAACCCTAGCTTCCTATTGGTTGGATACTAGTGTTGTTACAATAACAACACAAGGGGTGTTGTCACACTATCTAGTCTCATCGCTCCATTCTAGACCCATTTTATCTCAATTTCTTACAGTTTCTATATTTTCCCCCTATTTTGACGTTTCTTCAAATATTTGAGTCTATTTTCAAATTGTTAGACTCAATTATCCATTATATTATCACTATTTTTCATTCATAAAGTGTTTTCCCCTTTGTTTTATCGTAAAAAGTAAAATTTGCGTGTATTCTTTTCAAATAACATATCAGTGTGGGTCGACCCGCCCCGCCCCATACCCATGCTGGTTGTACCCGCCCCGACCCATAGTAGTATTGGGCAAGGCATGGGAATTGAAGTACCGCCTCGCCCCGACCCATTACCATCACTAGTCGATAGGAATACTTTGATTTATGCTATTGATCTGGAAGAATTAAAGGCGCACACATAAGTTTGTAAAATTATTGTTGGGGGAATTACAAAGATAGGCCCAAGGTGGCCCAATAAGGAAGAAGATGGTACTTCATGGGCCCGGCCCGCAGATTGGTTCGTGAGGCCAAGCCCTGGGGTAATATAGGAAGCTAGGAGACAAGGTTCGGAAGATTCCAAGAGAGTACGGTCTGGGCGCCTTGTACTTGTCAGAGGCCTGACAGGTTGGTCGGGGCGTCCAGCCTAACAGACGTACGGAGTATTAAATGCGATGCTGACGTGGAACTGGGTTGATGAAGCCTGGTTCGGGGTTGGGTGAGTATAAATAGTGTCGGTGGCATTTACTCAGGTTGGACTCTCTCACTAAACACTAGAACTTGGCACTTCTCTGTCTCAGATCCAAACTGACTTGATCGTCGGAGGAGTAACGGGCCCAGGCGCCCTCCTCCGTATGCGTGTGTGCAGGTCAAGCACCGAGGACTCGTTGAGCTGGGATAGAGCTGGTAGGTAGTTAGGCTCCAAAGTATCTGGGCACAAACAATTATCAAATGTCAATATAGGAGTATCTTCATAAGATATTCTAAAAGAAATATACAGATGATATCTCTAGAGCACGATCCGGGATGTTCTACAGTCTTCCTCAACCAAATCTCTTTAGACACATATTAGATGTCTCGTAAGATCCGTGATCAGTTGTTTCAAGACAATGTAACAGTCAAATTATGCTTAATAAAACTCTCAGGTTTTCATATAAAAAAATAGTGACGCCATATTATAATAGTTTCTCTCACGTAAATGTTATATCAATCCAAACTAATGAAATTTTTATTGTTTACAAAAAGAGGACAGCAGATGTTATTAATTCGAATCATGGGACTAAAAATTGATTATAGGTTTGGTCTAGTTAGACGAAAAGAATACCTATATTATCTAATCCATAATTCCCTTTCATCCTAACCTAGGATTGTGTAATAAGTAGTAATTATAAGTGTAGTAATGAAATGTTAACAGTTGCAGAAATTTCCTCCCTCGAGCAACAGCAGCAGCCAGAATTGATGAAATCTGCAGATATTTCAATTAAATTAATTAACGGGCTCAAATTGCACTGCAAGTTGCCGGTGCGGGCATATATCATATGCATAAACTATAAAATCCCTCCTCTCCACCCACCGCGCCTTCCCAAAGAGATATATAATATAAATCTACGCAAGTACGTGAATAAAATAAAAATCTGAATACGATTACATTGTGTAGCGAAAATTACAGTATTTACAAAATTGTATTATTGAACCGATTGAACAATCATCTATGAAAGTTCAAATTTAATAACGGAGTTAGATTGAAAGAAAAAAAAAT